AGGGACCCGGGCGCTGAGGATTATCCCCAGGCTGCGCTCCGTGCGGGTGAGCAGGGACCCGGGCGCTGAGGATTATCCCCAAGCTGCGCTCTGTGCAGGTGAGCAGGGACCCGGGCACTGGGTCCCCGGCCAGACTGGACTGTGAGGGAACTGCTCTCTTCTCACAGAGCCAGCCAAGCTGCCCTACTAGAGATGTGATACAATGGGGAGCAGAAAACACACACTGTTCCTTTTGTCACTGGCTTTTCTCAGCCTCACTCTGTCCCTAAAGCCTGCAAGAGCACCAAACACTGCAAACACCTCAGAGGGGGAGGCGGAGTTGACGCAACCATCTCCCTGAAACCAAATGCAGCCCTCAGACACAGCTGGGAATTAGACAGACACAGTATTGAGCTGAATTGTTAGTATAAAAGCATTGTCCTTTAGACAAGCTCTGCAACAGGGAGGGCTCAGTGAGCCACCAGCCGCTGTGGAGGGAGAGAAAACTGTAGGGAACTTCATGGGATGGGGCATAACCCTGGAGCCAGTGACCACCAAATATGTTTCTGCCCCAGCCTGCAAACAGGTTGACATACCATTGTGACGGATCTGTGGATCATAACATGAAGAAAAATGCTCCTTTTTTGTCTGAGCTGTGCTTAGTCATCAGAAGAGAAGGGTTCATGCTCCTCTACCCACTTCTGCATAAATGAATGTCATTCCAAAAATATGTCTCACCTCTAGAATGGTTCCCTCTGTCTTCCACAACTTAATGCAGATCCACAAAGGAATACAAACCATGGATGAGAGGGCCATCATCCAGCCTATCCCATAGCCCCAGTCCGGGTACGTATAAACGTTGTTGTATTTCAAAGGTTTATATTTCACCAGGAAAAAGATGAAGATTCCCTGAAATAAAGCGAGAAATACATTAACTACGTTGAAGCCACACTGTCTAGGGAAAAAAATAAAATTACTGCACAGGCAGTCTACTCTCCCCCAGGAATCTGAAGTAGTATAAGCTTTGAAGTCAGAGAGAGAGACACCAATATCCTTTTTTATGTCCATCTCAAATAATTTACATCTCAGTTCCTTCCACAGAAGCGAGCCACCTTTCAAGTTTAAATCCTATTTAACTTTCACTTGACAATAAAACTTGAACTTTGATGGCAAAGCATAACTGCGCAGCAGAGATTAAGTTTTGGGTCTGGTAATCTAGGTGCGTATGGAGAAATGAGCAAGATGGTTTCAAATCTATCACTATTAGAAAATAAGGGCAACATTATTGGTCTTGAGCCAATCTCTACATTTGCACCCGCAGTTTTGCATGTGAAATCTTTTGCATGTGCAAAAGCTCATATTTGTGTGCACAAACCTCAGATGTCCAACTAGGGAGTTTGCTTTTTCCTGTTATGGGAAGCATTAGAATTATGTGCAGAGGGAAAAATGAAGTTAACATTGATTCTTACCAAATCTCCTGTAAGCTTCTTCAATTAAAATATATGCCAAATGCCATGATGATTACTTCTCTATTTCTGCAATTCATTAGGCTCAAACATCTGGTAAAAAAATCTGCAGAAAACCTACGCATTCCCAACCAATTTATTCAGATTAATACTTACAGCACAAATACCAGGAGTTAGGACCATCCAACACCATTTAATTAATGACAATGGTCTGTACCCGATCATATCTTCAATATTATCATAAAAGCGATTGCTGCCTGCCCAAAAAAAAACCAAACCAAAAGTGAATATAGAATGTTTCTGTGAGCAATCGATTGCAAAGACTAGGATTATTTAGCCTGGAAATGAGAAGAGTTAGAAGGGACATGTCTGTGACGAGGCCCTTCCCGGGGTGGACATACAATACGTTCACTGTGCTCCCTGAATACCGGGACACCAAGGCCGGAAAGGAAAGGCAGTGCCGGGGATATGCGTCTGCCCAATGGGAAATAGGGACCAACCAGCTGCCATATCCTAATGGCTTCTGGTCAATATCAGTCTGAGCAGGGCCCATTTAAGGCATAGAGCCTGCAGCCTCATGGCTAAAGCCCCTGGTTCTGAGGACACGTGACATCAGAATCTCAGCTTTCATTTTATAAAAGTATGTTTCTAGCCCTTGTTGCCACAAAGAGAAGCTTAAAAAGGTGGCTTGCGTGTAACCAAGGCAACCATGTCTGCCTGAGTCTGCAGATAGCCAGAACCAAGAGCTGGGCCTCTGCTGTTGACACTTCTGCCTCTCTGGCCAGGGAGTGAGGAGGACCCCTGCTACCACTCCTGGAACCCCAGAGGGAAAGAAAGCCCTGGCCCTGCTCCTGCCTCTGTGGAGGGGAGAGGTCCCCTCCTGCCACTGACACTCCTAGTGGGAGGCAGAGCCATAATACAAGGGCAGAGCCATGGAGGCCCCTGTCATGGTGTGACAAGGGCCCTGTGTCACTTTAAATCTGGTCCTAAAACTAAGACCATAAGTGTATGACTTCCATAAACACACAATAATGTAGCAGTCTTCAGTAACTCACCGTAAACCCAGCCTATGCAGATGCATTCAAATATAGCCACAAAAAGAAGGCACATCCCACTGGCTGCATAGGAGTCAAACAGCTGGAAAACGTACATTCCACCCTTAAACACAAAAGATAGAAAAGGGAAACCAAAATAGACTGTGGAGGTCTGATGGGAATATTTCAAAGCACAAATATGATTTTAATTGCACAGTCATTCTCGTTCAGTAATGAGGGATGATAATTTGTCAGTGATTTGTTATTGTGAAGGCTCTTTTCTCCTACTCCCTTAGCCTGTTAAATACTGCACATTTGCATTAAGATAGTAAATGTCTTGGGGGCGGGAGGGAGACGGGAACAAGGCCCATCAGAATTAATGTCATGTTCTAGGTGAACTTAGGATAACGGAGCATGACATTTGATCCTTTTCTGAAATGTTCTTCCCATTCCATCCTATTTGCAACTTCACTGTTACAGCACCAAGATTTAAATGACTGAAAATGCTGATGATCTCCTAAGCCCTGCACATAAATATGCAGATTTCTTCAAATGTCTGTTACACTACTATGTAAAAAGCATTAGCTAAATCCTGAGAAAACTTGCAGAACAGTAACTCCTATGGAACATGGTCTCATAGTCAGGTGCACCCACTTACACAAGGTTTGCATGTAGCTCAAGGTCTTTTAGATGCTTTGCTCATCTAAGTCTTTATCATGTAACAAAGATCAATTAATTAATGACTTACTGGTAGGCTTTTTTTTTATTTCTTTCCCTTTCAAATAAAAAGCTGCTTTTCTAATGGTTTTAAAATAGAGCTCCCTAAATAGTGTGGACATTCCAGAAATAGAGCGTGATCAAGGGCAAACAGGGTTCTACTTCAGCAAAAACTTCATTTGGCATCTACAAATCACAAGCCAATAGAAGTCCATTTTTTCTAGGCTTTGGCGGCATACAAGTAATGCTTAATTTGTGCCAGGGCTGAACCCTGGCACCTCTATGCTTGGCAGTTCGTAGCCCTGGCACCTCTGGGCTTGCTGCATCAGTTATGAATATAAAAGAATTGCTTGAGCCCCGGCACCTAATTGCTTGAGCCCCAGCACCTCTTTCATTACAAATTAAGCACTGCATGCAAGCCAGGCATAACATCCCTTTAAGTGGTCCTCCCTGATTAGCTGAAGTATGCAGTACAATTGTGCCAAGCTAACATGGCACAAAGAAGTAAAATTCACTAGCCTGCCTGTAATTTTTCCTTCTCTGAAGTGGTCACCTTGCGCTCCATGATCCCTTACAACTAAGCTATTCTTCCTCATCATCCCAGAACAAAGATTCTTTGGTTTTTTGTAACCCCCTCTCTCTACAATTGTTGGGAGAATATTTTTTGGCAAATAGTACTTTTGCTGAAAAATACATTTTTGAGGCTCCAAAACTATTCGTGAGTTCGGGTTGAATTCAACTAAGTGGAAACTAGGGCTGTCAAGTGATTAAAAAATTAATCATGATTAATCGGGTGATTAATTGCACTGTTAAACAATAATAAAATACCATTTATTTAAATATTTTTGGATGTTTTCTACATTTTCAAATATACTGATTTCAATTACAACACAGAACACAGTGTACAGTGCTCACTTTATATTTATTTTTGATTACACATATTTGTGCTATAAAAACAAAAGAAATAATATTTTTCAATTCACCTCATACAAGTACTGTAATGCAATCTCTTTATCGTGAAAGTTGAACTTACAAATGTAGAATTATGTACAAAAAAACTGCATTCAAAAATAAAACAATGTAAACATTTAGAGCCTACAAGTCCACTCAGTCCTACTTCTTGTTCAATCAGTCACTCAGACAAATAAGTTTGTTTTCATTTGCAGGAGATACGGCTGCCCGCTTCTTGTTTACAATGTCACCTGAAAGTGGGAACAGGTGTTCACATTGCACTGTTATAGCCAGTGTCACAAGATATTTACATGTCAGATGTGTTAAAGATTCATATGTCCCTTCATGCTTCAGCCACCATTCTAGAGGACATGCGTCCATGTTGATGACAGGCTCTGCTCAATAACGATCCAAAGCAGTGCAGTCTGACACATGTTCACTTTCATCATCTGAGTCAAATGCAACCAGCAGAAGGTTAATTTTCCTTTTTGGTGGTTCGAGTTCTGTAGTTTCCATATAAGAGTGTTGCTCTTTTAACACTTCTGGAAGCATGCTCCACACCTACATCCCTCTCAGATTTTGGATGGCACTTCAGATTCTTAAAACTTGGGTTGAGTGCTGTAGCTATCTTTAGAAATCTCACATTGGTACCTGCTTTGTGTTTTGTCAAATCTGCAGTGAAAGTGTTCTTAAAACAAACGACATATGCTGGGTCATCATCCGAAACTGCTATAACATGAAATATATGGCAGAATGTGGGTAAAACAGAGCAGGAGACATACTATTCTCCCCCAAGGAGTTCAGTCACAAATGTAATTAACACATTATTTATTTAATGAGCGTCATCAGCATGGAAGCAGGTCCTCTGGAATTGTGGCAGAAGCATGAAGAGGAATACGAATGTTTAGAATATCTGGCACGTAAATACCTTGCAATGACAGTTACAAAAGTGCCATGCGAATGCCTGTTCTCACTTTCAGGTGACATTGTAAATAAGAAGTGAGCAGCATTATCTCCCGTAAACGTAAACAAACGTGTTTGTGTTAGTGATTGGCTGAACAAGAAGTAGAACTGAGTGGATTTGTAGGTTCTAAAGTTTTACATTGTTTTGTTTTTGAGTGCAGTTATGTAACAAAAAAGTCTACATTTGTAAGTTGCACTTTCATGATAAAGAGATTGCACTACAGTACTTGTATGAGATGAATTGAAAAATACTATTTCTTTTGTTTTACCATTTTTATGGGGCAAATATTTGTAATAAAATTATCAAATAAAGTGAGCACTGTACACTTTGTATTCTGTGTTGTAACTGAAATCAAAATATTTGAAAATGTACAAAAACATCCAAAATATTTAATAAATTTCAGTTGGCATTCTATTGTTTAACAGTGCGATTAAAACAGATTAATCATGATTAATTTTTTTAATCATGATTAATTTTTTTTAGTTAATCATGTGAGTTAACTGTGATTAATTGACAGCCCTAGTGGAAACATTTCATTTTGGCCAGTTTCAAATGTTTTGTTTTTACTTTTTGTTTTGAAACAGCATTCCATTTTGAAATTTTTCCAATTAAATACACACACCCAGGAAAGACACCCAAAAATGACCAAACTGAAACAAAAAAGTCAAAAAGAAAATTGCTTTGAATCTATCATAAAGTTTCTGTCCATTCAAAATGAATTTTTTGGTGGGGGGGAGAGAGTTTCACTTTCACAAAAACAAAAATTAAAAATCAATTTCTGTTTGAAACAAACAGTTTTTTTTCAGTTTAGCTTCTGTTCCCTCAGCTCTACTTGCTACCTTACAATGTATTGCCAGCCGGTGAAGTTGTTCAGAGAACTGATTGTCTCTCTGATTCCCCAGCCCATTGCACAAGATGAGAAGACAATCTGTACATTTTAATTAATACGCATTAGAAAAGTTCAGCCATCGCCACACAGAATACTTCATCTATCATTTTATTCATTTATTATACAACAAACAGAAATGAAGACTTACAGCAAAGCAAGATCCCATAGTTTTGCATAAATAGAATTTCAATGCCTCAAAAACAAAACATGTGCAACTGATTCTCCTGGTTGTGGCAGGACTTAGAATATGTGGAAGGCAAATAAACAAATTGGTTCAAGTGAAAACCCTAATTTTGAGAGGACAGAAAATTCTAGTGCAAGCCCAAGAGTCACCTCATCTAGGAAATAAATTGCACATAAGGATTCCAGATGTAGAAGGCCCCTAAAACTCTTTTGGCCAATGTAATTGTCAAGTTGCCCAGAGTGGCTCAGGAGCGTGAGTACCAGGCCCAGGGCAGTCTGTTAAGAAGCAAGGCACAAACCCAAATTGGTTGTGAGTTCTCTACTTAGATTTCACCAGCCAAGTAACAGTGTGAACTCCTAAAGCATTGTAACAGCCTTAACATGGAGTCACAGACAGTCCCCTTGGGTACTCCGGTCTATCTTGCCACTTAGGCAAGCTTGCCTTTGTGATAGATGGTCCCTTACACCAAATATCACAACACCACTCAGGTTACTCCCAGCCCCAAAGGACTGGTCACTTACCCAGGTCAATTGCACCCTAGATCTTACACCAAAGAGAATGCTTGTAGCTGATCCTATAATAAATTAACTAAAGATTTATTAACCAAGAAAAGGAAATAAGAGTTAATTACAAGGTTAAAGCAGGTAAACGTACACATATAAATGAGTTGCCATGTTAGGTTTCAAAAGGTGATAGAAGCTGCTGTAATATGCAAGCTCCATATGTCCTTTAGGACTAACCCAGGCTCAGCTGCTGGGGATCCCTTGCTTATGCTTAGAAATCTTGCCCTCCCAAAGTCCAAGCAACATAGAGCTATAGTTTCTCCTTGTTGAGGATTTTTATTCCCTTCCCCTAGAGTGCAAGCTGATGGAATGAGTCCATATGCACGTCTCCTCTTCATGGGTGTTGGGATGTGTGGGGGGCAATCAACAAAATCTTTGCTCTTTGATGTTTCACAGTGGCTCATTTGGTTTCAGTGGGCCTTATTATGGGAAGGGCCTAACACCTTCAGGGTTTTATGTAAGTTAATGCTTCTTTCCTGTTTGGCGAACTACATCATTACAGAGGTTTACAAGGCAAACACTAAGGCCATGTCTACAAACTTCCACCGGCAGAACGATGTCACTCACAGGTGTGAAAAATCTACACCTCTTAGTGACGCAGTTATAGTGACCTAACCCTCAGTGTAGACAGTGCTACGTTGCCGGGAGGGCTTCCCCCATCAACACAGCTACTACCTCTCATGGAGTTCTCCTGTCAGCCTAGTAGCATCTTCACTGACGTGCTATAGCAGCGCACCTGCACCAGTTTAAGAGTAGACCTACCCTTAATATAATCTTATAACATGGGGTACAGATGTTATGAGTGAGATCAATATATGCAGCATCCTACAAGCGTTTCATAAAATCTAATCACTAA